GAAGAGAGAGGAAAGAATTTCAAGGAGCTAGCAGGCAATAATCAAGGAATAGAGTATGATGACTAATTCCACTAAACAATATGAAAACTTGGAGAACAAAAGAGACAAATGGCCATTCCACGTAGACAAAGGTCTGAATCCTAGGAAAATGAGATTGCTTACACGGAAGCAGCACACATTATGAAATGATAATTGAAGTGGACTGATATCTTACCCAGTGTCTTAGGTGGAATTTGTCCACTCCACAAAGTCACCAGCTGGTACTGAAGGTTCTGTGTTCACTGTGTGCATGTGAAGAACAGAAGTTTCAGTTGGATCCATGAGAGTCCTCATGTTGAGGGGCTGAATGGGAAGAGCCTTCCACCTGCAGGGAATAACTAATTGATCCTCCGGTTGCTGATATCAGCTCAACATGTATGGCCTCTACCATCCCCATGTTGAAACTTAAGGCCAATGTGATGGGAGGAGGAGGTCGGGGCTTAGGGAAGCACAAAGCTCCGGAGGGTGCAGTCTCTTGATGGAATTAGTACACTAATAAACCAGGAATGGGAAAGCTCCTTGCCCCCTGATCCCATGTGAGGGCTTGCAAATAGGGTCCTCCTTCTGCTGATTAAAACAGGGAGAGGAGCCCCAGCCTTGGGAAACCCAGGTGTTCCCATTCACTGATCAGGACAGAACACAGACAACTCACCATGGAGTTTAGGCTGACCTCAGTTTTCCTTGATGTTCTTTTAAAGGTAATTCATGGAGGACAAAAAAGATTGAGTATGTGAGTGGATATAAAGGAGAGAAACAGTGGGTGTGGAGAAGTTTCCTGACCATGATATCTTGTGTCTGCCGGTGTCCATTGTGAGGTGCAGCTGGTGGAGACTGGGGGAGACCTGGTGAAATTTAGGGGTCCCTGAGACTCTCCTGAGCAGCCCCTGGATTCACCTTCAGTAGTAATGCCATGAGCTGGGTCTGCCAGGCTCCAGGGAAGGAGTAGCAATGAGTCTCAGTTATTAGATATGAAAGTAGCACATACTATGCAGACTCTATGAAGGGCCGATTCTCCATCTCCAATGACAACACCAAGAACACACTGTATCTGCAGATGCACAGCCTGAGAATTGAGGACACGGCCGTGTATGACTTTGCAAGTGACACAATGAGGGGACATCATTGTGAGCCTAGACACAGTCTTCACTGTAGAATGGGATCTAGAGCACCAAGGGGTGCACACTCCTCACCATTTCTGCCTTTAAGGCCCAGGAACAAATGCAGATATATATTATGAACAGGGTTTCTGTCAGAGTCTGGGGCTTGCTCTACATATACAGCAGTTTCCACCAGGGAGCCTCTCTGAGCACTTGATTCTGTGCATAGTTATTCAGAGACTGATTTAGAAACTTTTTTTGTAGGCAATCATCTTGTAATATGCACAAAAGACAGAGTTGCTTAGGTTTGCTGACTATTGTCCCTAAATGCCAATAAATTACAAATATCTCTATGTAATTTAACTTTTCCTTTCTGGATTCCCAGCTTTATGCACTTTGCATCACAGAACCACACAGCTCAACATGCAAGCTTGTTAGAAGCAGCATAAAGTGCATGCTGGACATGAGGCTACAGAGCCATCAACAATCCAAAACAAAAGAGGAAGGATCCATGGTGGCAGTCACTGTCTTGAACCATGCACACAGCCATGTTAGTGACAGCATGAGAAAGCAGTGAATCCTCCTTCAGCGTGTCGTGTGCATGTGGACTCTAATGACCATGGACACACACATACACACAGAGTGACACATGCGCGAGCACACACACACACACATACGGAAACCTTTATCACCTTCTTCACCATTGTGTCTATTGAGAACAGGTCAGACCTTTCAGCAAGTCATAACTGCCTGGATAGAACCAGGGTAGGACACTGGCTCAGGGTGTGTGCTGCGGGTCAATGGTGGGGAGGGAGTCCTGCTCATGGGAGGGACTTGTGTGGAGTCAATGTCCTACCTGCATCAAAGGAGGGAGAACCCGTGGGTTCCTGTTGGATTTCCCATGTGTGAGGCAGGAGGAGAAGAGAGAGGAATGAAGGTCAACAAGCAAGTCAGCAATAATCCAAAGATATCATGTGGTGACAAATTCTACTAAACAATATGAAAACGGCAAGAACAAAAGAAAGAAATAGCCATTTTAAGTAGAAAATGGTATGAATCCTTGGAAAATTAGAAGAATAATCCATGGAAACCTCACAAGTAAAAAGATAATGATAGAAGTAAACCGAGTTCTACCCAATATCTGCAGTGGAAGCTGTCCACGCCCCAAGGTCACCAGCTGGTTCTGAAGGTCTTATGTTTGCTGTGTGCATGCAGAGACCAGAAGCTTCTACTGGATCCATGAGAATCCTCAGGTTGAGCTTCTGGATGGGAGGAGCCTTCCACCTGCAGGGACTAAGTAACTGATCTTTCAGTTGCTGATATCAGGTCAGTGTGTATGACCTCTCCCATCCCCATGTTGAAACTAATGACAATGTGATGGGAGGAGGAGGTGGGGCCTTAGGGAAGCACTTAGGTCAGGAGGGTGCAGCCTCATGACAAGATTAATGTTCTTATACAGCAGGACTGGGAAAGCTCCCTGCCCCCTGACCCAATGAGAGGTGACAGGGAAAGGGCACACTAGTATGTGGGTGCCCCCCAGACACCAAATCTGTATGCACCTTGACCTGGGACTTCCCAGAATCCTGAACTGTGAGAAATGACTGTCTTGTTTAAAACCACCCAGTCCGTGTACATTGTTACAGCACCTGGAACAGACTGAGACATTAGTGACACATGAACCCAAGCACTGATGCTCTGGTGTGTCCCTACTGCATTTGTTGTGAAAAGTACCTGATAAGCTCCTTCAGTGAGGTTCAAGCATGGATTTCTCACATGTTCCCTCCTGCAGATAGGACTAAACTGCTGACTCTCCTAGGGCTCTGTGAAAAGACACAGTGGACACACAGAGGGAGAAGCTTGCTACGAGGGACTCAAGGTTTCCTAGAGTTGGTGGAACTTTAATTTAAGGATGCTGTTTTTTCAATCTTCCAAAAGATGTGGATGAAATGACTCTGTGAGTTTTGAGTCTGAGCATCACCTTACAGACTTGTATTGTACTGAAAGCCCTGAGGTTAGGCACCTTTGTTCCCTTGGCCCTTCCAGGATTCTTACCTTTACTGTGTTGTATTTTGTGAGTTTGACTATGATATACCTTGGAGATAGTGGGCTTTTGTTGAATTTAATGGGTGTTCTCTGTACTACTTCGATTTTGATGTCTGTGTCCTTCTGCATAGTAGGGAACTTTTTGGCTATTATTTTATGGAATAAAACTAATCCCCCTTTTTATCTCTCTTCATCTTTGCTTTTCTTTTTCAATATTCCTCTGGCTATGCGGGGTCTCTTCTGGTTCCATACAAATTTTAGGATTGTTTGTTCCATTTCTTTTAAAAAAAGGATGGTATTTTGATAGGGATTTCATTGAATGTGTAGATTGCTCTAGGTACCATTGACATCTTCACCATATTTTTCTTCCAATCCATGAGCATGGAACATTTTTGCATTTCTTTGTATCTTCTTCAATTTCTTTAATAAGTATTTTATAGTTTTCTGAGCACAGATTCTTTGCCTCTTTGGTTAGATTTATTCCTAGTGATCTTATGTTTTGGGGGGCAATTGTAAATGGGATTGACTCCTTAAATACTCTTTCTTCTCTCTTGTTGTTGGAGTATAAGAATGCCACTGATTTCTGTGCACTGATTTTATATCCTGCCACTTTACTGAATTCCTGTATGAGTTCTAGCAGTTTTGGGGTGGAGTCCTTTGGGTTTTCCACGTAAAGAATCATATCATCTGCAAAGAGTGATATTTTGACTTCTTTGCCGATTTAGATGTCTTTTATTTCTTTTTGTTGTCTGATTGCTCTGGCTGGGACTTCTAATATTATGTTGAATAGCAGTGGCGAGAGTGGACATCCCTGCCATGTTCCTGACCTTAGGGGGAATGCTCTCAATTTTTCCCCATTGAGAATGATATTCGCTGTGGGTTTTTCGTAGATGGCTTTTATGATATTCAGGTATGTACCCTCTATCCCTATACTCTGTAGAGTTTTGATCAAGGAAGGATGCTGTACTTTGTCAAATGCTTTTTCTGCATCTATTGAGAGGCTCATATCGTTCTTATTCTTTCGTTTATTAATGTATTGTATCACAATGATTGATTTGTGGATGTTGAACCAACCTTACAGCCCAGGGATAAATCCCACTTGGTCGTGGTGAATAATCCTTTTAATGTACATTGGATCCTAATGGCTAGTATTTTGGTGAGAATTTTTGCATCCATGTTCATCAAGGATATTGGTCTGTAATTCTCCTTTTTGGTGGGGTCTTTGTCTGGTTTTGGGATCAAGGTAATGGAGGCCTCATAATATGTGTTTGGAAGTTTTCCTTCCATTTCTATTTTTTGGAACAGTTTCAGAAGAATACGTATTACGTATTAATTCTTCTTTAAATGTTTTCCTGTCTTTCCTGCAATTGCTCCATCCCCTTCCCCCTGTGCGGTCGCAGCTCTGGCCTGGTGGGTAGTTTCAGAGAGAGGGTGGCATATGGGAGGAGAAACGCCACTGCAACACCCGTTATGAGCCCGGCATCTTCATGGTTTCTCTCCCTTGAACTTACACAGCGTGTTGTACAGAGATGGGAATGGAGGCTCAGAGAGTGTCAGTCACTTGCTTGTCACCACACAGCAATGGCAAATAGCCCAAAGGAAATCCTAGTCCAGGTCTCTGCGGCTCTGAAGCCCACACTGCTTTCTCCATATCAGGAGTCGGGAGCCAGGCTAATGGGACTCCTCCCCCTGCTCCCACACCCGCCTGCTGACTGTGGGTGAGCCCCTTACCACTCCATGCCCAGTTCCTCCACTGGGGAAAATGGCAACAACTGCAGTACTTATCTCAAGTGTAATGTAATTATGCATGTTGCCCATGAGTGTGCCTGCCCAAGAAAGTCATGAAACTAACAGAAGCAGAGATGAGAACACAGGCCACATGGGGGTGGCAGTGGGAGGCAGTCGGGGCACTATCTGGCCCCCCAACACTGAAAGGAGCTTTGTTTTTCAGAGTTGAGGACAGAGGGAATGTTGCCCCTCTTGGTTCTGGGGCTCCTGGTGGCTGGGCTCTGCCCCACTGTCCACTGCATCCCAGGGGGCATGCTTGACCCGCAGAATGTCACCCAGGAGGACCTACACAA